GGGCAAATCTGCTGGAAGAACCTTTTATTAAACTATGATGCCTCATAAGTGCACACTGGAACACATCTGCACTAAAGTAAAATTATTTGACCTACTAACTTTTAAACTTTTTTAGAACTGTTCTACATGGAAAAAATCCTACAGACACTTACTTCACATTGCACTGCCTCACTGAAGTTCATGTTATTCCAGTGTTGCTCTTTAAATACACACTCTTCCTATTCTATGTCGCCTTCCCTGTGAGCACTGCGTGTAATCCACCCCTGAGAGAGAAACTGCCCTTGCTTCTCATGAGGGCAAATGGGGTGAAAGGAGTGGATCTGTGCATCAGAGGCTGAACAAACCCAGAGGATGTGTTCCCACCCCTGGTGATGCTCTGTCTGACAGAAGGTTTCTGTAGGCATGTTTAACTTCAGCATCCATGCAGGAAGCCTTTAGGATGTTACAAGCATCAGAAACAGCTTTGATCTATTTATTTAAGAAAATTGTTGGAGAATGGCTAAGAGAGCGGGGACATAATCCTGGGAATGCACCTGGGAATGCACAGACACAGTCCCCTGGGAATGTACCTGGGAATGCATTGTATAAGCAAGGCTCTGGAGATAGTAACTTATATATAGATAGGGAGTAACTCAGCTTGGGAGAAGGCAACTTAACTTGGCAGATGGCAGGGGCAAGTTGTCCTTGAGGGTGAGACAAACAAGTTTGAGACAAACAGCTAGGAATGCAGCCAAGCCTGAGAAAGTAAGAGATAATCCTCACAGCTGTAACTGCAAGTAGGGAGAGTACCTGAATGCTATCTTTAGAGCTTAGCCAATTATAAATGATTGATAGTTATATGCCTGTCCTGCACTGTATAAAAAAGAGCCTGTCGGACAATAAAGTTGGACCTAGCTGTATCACCCACACTGAGTCAGCCGCTTGCTTCCCCGCACGGAACCTTCACCTTTCCCAACAGAAAATAACTTATATACACCAATGGCTAGATCTGAAAATTGGTCTTAAAGAGATTGGTTCAGCCCCATCCTTCATTCAGCTGTGAGGGATAACTGCTGGGCTCTGTGGAGCCAAAATCTCTTCTGCATTTAAAAGACCTTGATGGGAGCCTGTAGGTGGGAGACCTGCTACCAAACTATTGCTCTCGTAACCTCCTTGCTGACTCTAGCCCTTCTTCCTTCACCCTTTGATGAAATAGAATTCACTAATATAGGATGGTCTACTGCTCTAGGCTAAGAACAGAGCTGTGAGCAGTGTTTCCTACTGCTTCAGGTGTGATATCTGGTCATGACACTTAACATTTTCTATTCACATGTGGAAAAGTAAAGTATTCCAAACCTGGGTTTTGGCATATGAGCTAATAAATACAAGGAATAATTGCAAAGAAAATATTTTTGTACTTTAAAACTAAACATTTTAGTGTCTAACAATCTAAATGGCTTCATTGATCTCCTTCAGTTTTAATAAACCAGTCAGATTTTCAAATTTAATCTCTGTTTACAATGGCAGTGTTTGAACTCCTGAAAACTTTGCCCTTGGGTGAGACAGCGATACTGTGTATATTCCTTCAAAAGTGGCTGCATTTAAGGAGCATGTGTGAGGTGAGAGCTGTGACAGAGGACCTGACCAAGGATGTGCCAGCCAAAACACAATTAGAGTCCAATCTGTGATTAACTCTATGCTCTAATGAACAGGAAGGGGGAAGATAGGGATGGAGCATTTCTCTAAGCGAGTCCTCCCCAGCGCCCTCCAGTTTGCTCTGCAGAGCTCTACCTGCTCTGGGTGAAGCACCATGGGTGGCCGTGGACAGAAGTAGAGCACAGTGAAGGCTTTATGCCCCCGTTCAAAACAGCCTACTGACATTTCAGCGCCAGGTCTATGGCTGGTTGCAGTGGTCTGAGCAAACATCAGAGGGAAAAGCCTAAGTGCCTGCCTGGGAGAAATCACCTCACACTTCTCCAGGGAGGTGTGTGGGGATGGGGACAAAGCAGGAGGACAGTGAGGCAAGCACAAGGCACTGCCTGGGGCCCCCAGCATGTGCACTAGCATGGTTGGAGGTGGTGTCAATGAGAAGGCATACAGCTCCCATACAGATCTCCCCAGTAAATTCATCTTCATATGTTACCATAGGTATAGTGTTAATTCGGAATGGATTGAACAGAATTTGGAGTCAGACTCACTTTTTCCCAGTTTAGCTCTCTCCCTGTATACACACTACGAAACTGCAGGTGTATGCATAGTAGTCAGGGGTGCAGTAACTTCTGGTTTTATGAGCAGGTATTCAGACCTTTGTCTCTGAGTCAGGAGCTATACTGAAATAATTAAGGCTACAAGAGGAAAAAGTAATGCTTGGGTATGGGTATCACTGCCTGAATCCTTACAATGACCTGAAACAGCAAGTATTTCTGAGCAAGGGGAGCCTTCTATTAAAGATGTTTCAATAAATAATAAAGCATGGCAATTACTAAGTGTGTTGGTCAAACCAGCAAATGAAATCATGTGTAACCTTAGGACTAATCAGCTTACTTCATTAATTCCGAACTAACCCAGTGAGTACAAGCTTTCACTGCTCAAAAAGATCTTCTCCTTTAATCATAATTATCACTGAACTATCTTGTGTATTTATCAATACACTGAATCAAAGAAAAAGTAGTAATCTCATGTTGTGTTTGAGCACAGGAGTTTTACCATAATCTCTGTACTGAGACAGCAAACTAAGAACCAGCCTTTGAACACCTTAAATTGGACCACTGCTTAGAGAAATTTGTCTGGCTTTTTTTTTTCCCTCTGAAGACATTTACAACAATGGTCTTTAAACTATCTTCCAAATGTCATACTCTTCAAATTCTTTCAACCTACAGTGTAAAATATATATTTCTCTGTGGCACCTAGAAGACTGCAGTTACTTGTGGCTTACCTGTCCTGGTTGCTCACAGGCTGTCTGGTACCTTGCTTGTTGGCACAATTCTTTTACTCTCTCATATTTTGGTAGTTGATTAGACTGCTGAGTGTTTTTGTTGGGTTCCTCCTTCTTGCGCAGAAATTTGCTTGTAAAAAAAAATAAAAATTTAGAATGATTTTTGAATGTTTTAGATACATTCTTCTAAACTCTAATGATTAATTTAACTTGACATGTGAAGCCACTTGAAGGTTTAATTTCCTCTCGGGGAAAAAAATGTCCAAACTTCTGTTACTGACCTTTCATATAGGTCATGTAATGAAAAACAAGCTCAAGTGATTGGCTGAAAATTACCCAAAGAGAAATAAGGACTGCAGTATGGCTAACTTACACAGTTCAGCACCATTCATAGTAAATGTATGTTCTTTCACAAAGCAAAACATGCTGAAGCAGTATTTGCCTGGCTGAAAAACCCAGCTGAAGACATAACAGGACTTCCACACTCCACACTAGCTTGGCTATAACTTATACATTACAATGTGTCTTATATCCACTATTTTGTACTACATCACACAAGATTTCCATAATCTGTAAAGCCATAAAGTGGCAAAAGGAAATTTTTACCTGCGATAAGGTGAGAGGATATACATATTAACAGTAAAAAGAGGAGCAATTATAGTCATAAATCTCATTTCCATATAAGACTCTTTTTAGCTGGAACAAAAGTGAAGAATGCTTGCCATATGTGATGGAAAATGCAAAATCAGTTGATAAGAGGATTCCGCACAGCTGGATTTGAAATAGAGATTTGGTAAGAAAATAAGTCAGATAATAATAAGAAAATTATGTCAGATGACATAATTGGGCATGAGCACCATGTTAGGTAAAGAGGCTAGGAGAGTCACCAAAAAAGCATGCTTTCAAATGTCTTCAGAGGTAGGGATTTAGGAGCCCAGCATCTTGCAAAGCCAGTGGTGGGAAACTAGGAAACAAGTCAGGCCTGTAAGTTTGCTTGCAAAAAATTTACTTCTCTGACCATAAAACAGTAAGAGGAGAGACCAGAAAGCAAAGCATGTAAAAGAAATTGTTCCCAGCAGGCAGGGAACTCTCTCATCCCTAATAATTACCCTCTTTCCACCAGAAATGTGTCACGCCAAATTTTGATCTTCTTGTTTGTTCGAAACCTGAAAGTAAAATAATAATATTTACTGCTAGGACCTATGCATAGCACTGCTAGTGTTAACAAATTATTTTTGAAAAAACAACCCTCCACTTACATATACCTGCAATTTTATAGATGTGCTATTTAAGAGACTCTTCAAATGGGAAAGCTATGGTTGTTGCCATGACACAGCTCATTTTCACAGAATCTCTTTTTCCACTCAGTTGTTGTTTCACTTAGGTGTTTACTTCTGAGCTGGCTAAAAAATATGTTGGGACTCACCTGTTTCCTGGTCTTTCCAAGTCCAGAAGCTTTAGGACGGATTTGCCATCCATATCTGGAGGTGTGTCAAGTCCTGCTATATCCAGAATCGTTGGAGCAAGATCGATATTCAGAACTATCTGAGGCACTCTGCAAATCGACAGAAAAAGTCACAGTTGTCATGTGTTCAATATGCAAGTCTTCACATTCTCTTGGAAATAGAATGGTAATTAATGTTTATCAGGGCTTTGAAGATGCAAAGCTCTACACAAGTGCCAAGTTTAGAAAAGCCCCTTTGAAGTCTACAACTCAGAACGACAGGCCAGTACTGCACACTGTCATCACAAAGAAAAAGCTAAGCACGGGAAAGTAAGGAGGTGCAGCAGCCACACTACTCTTGTGTGTGTGAGTTGATTCATTGACAATGAGGGCATGATGCTATCCATTCTGCTAAACCACAAGGTGAGCAGTAAAAATAAGCATGTAGTTTTTTAAAAGCAAAATCCAAAGTCTAACCCTACAGGACTATGCATTACACACTTTTCTTATCTGCATTATAACTTATTCATAAAATGAAAACAGAAAGACATGCCTCTTTGTGTGACTCACTGCTCTGCAATAATAGGGCATCCTTTATGAAATGAAGCTAAACAGAGTGATAACTATATGCTCATAGGAACATTTTACATTAGGCTCAACAGCTGTGCTAGAGACATAAGAGAACGTACACTGATCCCGGCTCTACACTTGGACCACGAATAAAGAAAGGAACTCGAATATCAAAGTCATACGGCATTGACTTCCCCTTGACCAGTCCAAACTGCCCAATATGGTAACCATGGTCAGCAGTGTAAATAATGTAGGTATTCTCCAGTTCTCCCATCTCTGCAAGCATTTGGTATAACTGCAACACAGCATAGGAAGAACTCTGAGTTAAGTGTAGCAAAACACGTTTTGTGCATAATCATGTATAACCATCATTTATAATCCTCACATATACAGGACCAAACATGGCATCAATGAGGTCATTGAAACAGACATTCTGGGGATGGGCATTTTTACATCTTGTCTTTACTGTACTGCTAAAAAAATCAGCTTACAAGTTTGATTTCACATTTGACAGAGGAAACAATTAAACAGGTCCAGAAAATTAGATTAGAAAAAATATTGTAATAATGGTGTAGTTGCATTAATATGTCCAAAATTCATTGTGTACTCAAACACAGCTTGTGAAAAAAGTCTGCTGCAGCTTCAGGGGAAAAGGTACTCACATTTGATTTACTGTTTTAGTCTACAACTTTCTCATTCCTTACAGTTGTGGGCTTGGGAAAAGGCTGTAAATTTTTATTAAAGTTTAAAGAAATCTCTCTAGGGGAAGATCTTTGGTCATGGTGCTTGATTTTGGAACAAAAAGTCATACAAAGTACACCTAATAGTTCATGTATCATGTTACCTATAATTAGCTGTATGCTGCATTGCCTAACTTCTGCAAACACTCGTAGACTGACACCTGAGTTGCTGTGATTTGCCAGTTCCCAGATTTCAGCTGAAGGATGAACTGCGAAAGGAGTGTGTGAAAAGAATAGAAGTTGTCATGTGTGCACCTGTGTCTATCCATGTGTACACACAGGTGATGCATCTTCTGTTAATACCAGGCTTTATATTAGGCCCAGTGGCTTTTCCCTTTAAAAAAAATCATCAGTTTATTGACCCAGCAATTGAAAGAAGAAAGCAAGGAGTTTGGCATTATGTTGCAGAGAACCAAAATTCATTCCTATTGGGGATAGTAAAAGGACTTTCTCCAGAATGTGGTTGATGAAGGTAAAGAACAAATTAATTAATTTAATTTTGTTACTGACTAATAAGATTGTATTCACAGTAGTGTCTGGAA